TTTTTATATGTCTATTTTATAATGATCTGAGGGCTGATCTTTTGTCAATAACCCTATGCAATTATGCAAATACTGACAGTCTGGGCTTACTTCGTCGCTATACAAACTGCCACACCATATATCAAATAGCTCTATATCTTTTAAAAGTTTTCAAGCGACGAGATGAATATGAATTCAGCTTAACTTAGTACCATATGTTTACATGGATGTTGTATTTTGTTTAAAACGTGATATGCACTTTTCCACTCATTACATTTTGTACGATAGGCTGAGGCCCTGTACAGAAATAAAATTACATAATACAAAATTGACTAATACTTAAATGAATAAGACAGATTTCGACATGAAATCGTGTCACTTTTATGTGCTTAGACAATAATGCTAAGATAAGTACAGTCTTGTCTTTTTTGTGTACAACATGTTGCCGTAGTGGATCAATGGTGTGGATATGTTTGTCTGTAGGTGAGGAATGGCTCAGGACCCCTTCTCTAAAATGGTAAAATAGTCCAAAGATGTTATGTGAAATATCTTACCAATGTAACGCAAAGTAAACCAATTTAATTTAGAACCGATAATATAAAAATGTCTGTAACAGAGCTCAAAAACACTTTTTGAATATTATAAAATTCACACATTTCACATCAAATATATAATTGTTGTTTTCGAACCCCCTATTCAAAAGTGCTGGCTACGGGCCTGCTTGTACGAATATAAGCTACGTGCGCCGAATCTTATGAACTATTCTCCTGAAGGATCAATAATGGCGATAAAAGTTGTTACGTATACAGTGGAAGTTCACCTATGTCCTCTGAGTGTTCTCAAGAAATCCAAATTCTACTATCAAACAAACAATCAATCTTTATTCAGTACTGGGCCGTGACCCGTCGTACAATATTTAAAAATACATAGGTAGACGTTTTTTACATAGAAAAAGAAACACTACTAATTACAACACCACAAAAGAAAAAGAAAATATTGATAAATCAATTTACATGTAAAAAATGAATAAATCACTAAAATATTACATTTAACTTGTCTCATACAAATCTCGTCTTTTAAATGTCTGTAACAACTATACATATATATCTATTTAGCTAAGCGACGAATAATACAAGGTTGAGATGTTGAGAGAAGAGACACTAGTTTTTCAATATAGGGATAAGTACACAGAGAAATTGGCAATAACTCGGCTCGTAAGTCGTTGTAAAGGGGACATTTGAAAACAAAATGAAACTCGTTTTCTACAAACACAACTCCAGAGTTACTACGAAAATTACATATTCCATGTTCAACTGGCAGCTTCAGATGTCTACCCGTTTCAATGTTGAGTTTATACCCATAGCGGTGGAAACTTGCAAGTATGTGTTTTAATCTAAGATTACATTTCATGTGCAAGTGCTTTTTTTTATTTTTCCATAAGTGGCAAGTCTGGACGATTGTGTGACGTCACTGTGCCATTCCTACTGGCACCAATCTCCGGGAAAATAAATCTAGAAAATTGTCAGTGTCCCCAACTTGCTGTAAATAAATTGGCATGTCAGCTTCATCTGCATATAAAAGTATACTGACTGATGGACATAAATTCCTTCCCCTGGTTCAAAATCCATATAATTAGCCAACTCGTTGATAAAAATAGAGAAAAGGGGGCTTAAAATACATTCTTGCCTTGTTCCCACAGTACAACTAAAATATTTCGTAAGGGAACTATTAAAACGAACGCAATACTTCAGTTGGGAGTATATTGAGCGAAGACCCGAAGCTGAAACCAATTGCGTCAGCAAAATTTGCCCCTCAAAATGCAGGAAATGGCGTTTCAGAGGGTCTAGATTTCAGATCTAGTCCCTCATGAAAAATGTCGTGTCGCCGCCTCTGAAGTTGTTCAATATTATTCATCCTTTACCGAGCTTCACATGCAAAACAAATAAAGGGGTAGTACAGCATAAATACACAATAAAACCTTCCTATATTATTCTAACTTTGAACAGTAATACTACCCATGAACTAGTTTGATTCAGCAGACGCGTTCTCTATGTCCCTCGGCAATACATGTATGTTCGTGGTTATGTGCCGTAACGGGATATGGCGTGGTTCAAGTGAACAACTACCGGACACAGGCGAATATGTGACAAAATGACTACAAATTAAACTATGCGTATTCAATGCAGTTTTTGACAGCCGTGGTGCGATTTAGTTGAAAAACGATTAGTTGGTGGTTACTTCCTATCGCGCTGTGATTAGAAAATGTTTATTGTTCCTTTTTTGTATAGAGAAGCCAGGGGGACCACATGTATTATTTTATACGGGTATGCGAGGCACCAACGTTTGGCGAAAGTCACAGTGCAGAATAACAAATTTCTCAAAAAAATAGCCCTTAAACAAATTACAACCACCTCCTGTTACATATACATTAGTTCAAAATCACCGTAAAATGGACCACAACAAAAACTACGACTTAATTTTTGAAACATATTTAATAGACCGATTGGGTGCCTCGAATTGACCCAGAGGGGTAAAAAGAACATGATGAAAAGGAGTCTGTTCACCGGAGCGTTTCATGTTTGTGATTCATATCCAGCTTTAGTATTTTTACGTGATGGCTGATGTAGATCTTGCGAAACCAAGAGTCAAATGAGGTGCACTTAAGTCGTCTACTCGGCCACGAGCTTAACCAAACCGTGAAACATTGAATACTAGACAGACATTCCAAACGAAAACAACTTTCCACCCTGCCAATGAGCAAGACATTTTTTTTAGATACAATGTCAAATTTGGCCTCCTCCATTGGACGGCAACGTCGATTATTAATGTTTCCTCAACGGCGGAGAAACAATAACACTTTGCACCGCCACATGGTACATGCAGTTGGAATTCGAGGAAGGTATATTTTGCGACTTCAATTTGACATTGTATCGATATTGAATGTATGTTGTCCTTCATCGCACCCGAATTTTCGATCAACTATCAGCGTCTATATGACAACAGTGGCTCCTCAAAGAAGGTTAAATTGTAAATTACCTGTGATAAAATTTACCCCAACAATAATCACAATACATTTTCATAGTGCATACCGATTCACTAGAAAATTATTATTAACCATAGAGCATGTTCGTTTCTTTTCAGAGAACAGTTAACCATTGATCATACGCATGTAACAGCTGTTAGCTGAGATGAAAATACCAAAGACATTACAGTGTTTCACGAGCCAATCCCAGAAGTATTGTAAAAGCCATTACTGGCGGAGAGATTTCACCGCATTTCACCAAGATGGAAGACATGCTTGACATTGAGATTGTCGAAGGGATTTTTGCTCGGGCTCGCCCAATAATGTCACACGTTCATGTGATGGATAATCGGGTAGCAATGTTCTTTATGATCTGAAAGATTTTCAATCCACAATCCACTACTGTAAAGACATATTTACAGAAAGAGGAGGACAGCTTGGTGAATTTTATTGTATTTACTCGCATAAAATTGCGGATTGCAATGTCAAATGGCCTGCTTCTTGAACCATGTCTGCGCCACACTTGTAGCCATTGCAGTGAGGTTATGATTTGTCAGCTTCTCATCCATGACAGTACCTGAGTAGAAAGATGAGTTTCCGAATTAATTGTTACTACTAATGATAATCTAATCTCTAATTATAATCCCCAATGACAGACCATCATGCTTGTCATAGCCATGCACACACCTCAATACTATGATGGCTTACAGCCTCGGAACACTTACCTGAGGGCATCGATGTTGGCTTATGTTCAAATCATTCTCTTCTGCATTTTAGTTAGAATAGCTACTGACATTTTACTTGTCCAGAAAGATGCACTGCACAAGCCCGGTGGAGTTAACGCATATGTTGCTCCGTTCCTATCACAAATTTAAGTATTGTAGCCTATACAGATTGCTGAATCAAGTCCACCATGCTAAGATGATCCCTGCCTCACCAAAAGCAGAGCTCTGGTAATGCCAGAAAGTGTAGCAGAAAAACCATAACAACATCAAGCCCTTCTAGACTAGGAAAGCTTTAGTCTTCACCCGGCCCATCACCTTGCCAAAGAGATGTTAGGCCAAAATGTCAAGTCTGAGCTCTACCACAAGTTATTCCATTGGAGATGTTCTTACACCGACTCAATAACTGCCAATAACATGTGAGATACCACACACTGGAAAAGCAGACTACGATGAGGAGGTTGAACTTGACTACACAACCCAATGCGCTGCATTAATGCATCGAAAAAACACTTGCATCTTCAGAGCAATCAGCTTAAGTAAATCATGAGGTTCTACATTTCTGCCTTGAATGGAATATATTTTGCAAAGCTAGAAGCCATGCAGCCTAATCTTGATGTTACAGTATTGTTATGAACACAGAAAAAGCACGGCATTTGTACCCTAAAATCATTACCATTCCATGGCATGAGTGAAGTCAACCAGTCCAATAATCACCGGCTATGAACTCTGAACAAATTACCCCTTTAGATTAAATATTCTCTTATATTTCAGATAGGTGCAAGAAAATGATTTGAAGGCGATTGAACAACAGACGAACCTATTTTATGCAATGCATTGCAGCGTGTATTAGTTAAATAAAATAACTATTCGTAGTCAATAGATCAAATACATTTCTGATCACTCAAATGTACCAAGTGATTTATTGATCTTCGGACTATTCAGTTTTATCTCGAAGTAACCCGAACAACCTCATTCTTCAAACACATAACTGAACGAGTTTAATAACTATTCTATTGTTCTTGTATTCTAAACACGCGTATGATGAACGCCTGGACATTGTGATATTTGAAAACAATATAAAAACGAATTATAATCTCATTCAAATGACCTCATTTAACCAGAAAATGTTTGTTTACCATCGTTTATTGGAATCATTTCAAAGGTATTATATCGCTAAACCCATTCACGTTTCACAAAAGTGCCCTGTACGACTTCCTCATGCCATTGTGCTCAAGAGCGGGCATACTTTTTGTGTTTGGTAGGTTTTTTCATGGCTATTTATCAAAGTTGCAAAACTTTGACCTGTGGAAATGTTTAATATAAAATATATATATAAACAAAAACACAACAGAAAGACAAGTAATATAGCGTATTTGAAAAAAAAATGTCGCGTGTGGCAGAGACTGATTCTAGACTTTCAACCACGCCACCAGCCACTGCAATCAGCCGAGGCTTGGAAAATGCAATTAAAGTGAATCTACTCCCAAGATGCACCACTGAAACCATTGCCTGAACTCAAAGAACAAGACTGTATAATGGTACACGGTAATAATACTGATAATCTTTATTGTAAGCTTATTCAAATTAGGATATCAAACCCAATACAAATGAAGGTAACATGCTGACATAATATTACTACTTTATTAACATTGAAACGTTTTATTAGATACATTTAATATATAATCTGCATATTTTTGGTTTAAAATAGCTGCCAAACAGTCAAATTTGATTTAATCGCAAAACAACTGCATTTGCATACGTTCATCCCATGACATTTATATTAAAATTAAGCAAGATAATCAGTGGAGCGTTTTGGAGTACAACTGGTTCACCTATTGAAGACAAACATTGAAAACTTCATTCAACTGAAACACAATATAGAAGTTATATGGACAGAGTACGTTAGTGAGCTCTTGAATGGAGTACCACCAACTGCAGAGGTAAAGGCTGAAGCTGATATGGACATCGGTACAGAAGCGACATCATAGGGAGAACTTATATTGGCAATCAAGACTCAAGTTTGTTGACGTCTTGGCAAGCAAGAAAATATCTAGTGACTGGTCTCAGGAAATTACAGTAAAAACTGCCAAAGAAAGGTTTTTATGGAGTTGTAATAACAAGGAAAGATATCATGCTTTTGTTAAAATCGACCAAGATTATGCTATTGATCCTCTTCAGGGTAAAGAAAAGGTAGATAATGGATTAATCATCACTGAGCAGAACATTGGTTGTATGTAAACGCCTGCGACACATACTACATTCATATGGTTTCCCAGATGAATTTGTTTTAGTTATCAAGAGCTTTTACGATAACGTAATCTGTTAAGTAGGAATGACAATTACAACTTCCATGAGAAGAAATAAATGGGACAAAAGTGTGTAATGTGAACACTACTTGTTAGTAAGTGATGAGACAAACAACTAAAAACCAGAAAAGAGATCTTCACTGGAATCATAAATGGAAGATCTTGACAATGCTGATAACATTGCTCTTTTATCCCATAAACACCAATACATACAAGTGAAGACATCTCGTCGTGTTAAGTACGCCAAGCAGATTGGCCAAAAAATTAATCAGAAGAAGACGTAAATGCACACATAAATGGAGAAGACCTCTCTTTTACTGATAGTTTACCTACCAGGACAGCACGAACAGGAACGGTGGACGGGATGGAAATGACATCACAAACGAACTCAACAAAGCCAGAATTAGTAATGTGCTGTGAATACCAGCGTTGTGTTCGGGAAACGTGACTCATTTAGTTGATAACAGAAAGATAGAGACCCCAGATTTGAATCAAATGAATACACATTATTTCATTACAGACAGTCCAGCTTTTTCATCCAGACTGTCAGCTGAGGTAACCCCTCCCTGTCCACCTCTCTCGTTCTCTTTTTATAAAGTGTTACCAACTCTATCCTAAAAGTAAGTCCATGCCACAGTCGTTGGCTTAACCACGTGGTTATCAGCGATTTGTCTCACGGTTAAAGCCTTGCAAAAGATGCCTAACTAGATCAAATTAGTAAACAATCTTTTTAACAAATTCTTGTAATATATATTTATAATGTCCACCCTAAACGTGCAAGTTGTTGATTTTAAACAATAGTGCAACAGTGTGTGAACTAAACACGTATACGTGACGTGGGACGTGATGTCGCTGTCGCAATTAGGACCGAGGAATTAGAACTAAGCCTAAGATATAAAATGAGTTGCAACCTCTCTACTCTCTTGTATAGATCTGATTCTGTCAGGATTTCATACCAAGAGCCTTAGATGCATACTTCATATATTCTGGTCTGACACACTATCTAATGAAGGTATATGAGAGTTACCATCAGGAAATTACGAAAGATACATTAATGGGAAAAAGGTGGACCGGGCATGTCTTGAGAAAGAAAGTTGGTGACATAACCAGGATAGTGCTTCATTAGGTACGGGAAAAAGAACATTTATTACGCCGTGAAATTCACGTGCAGTAAGTTGTGTTTTCGTTTTCGGATTCCCTCAATTTTTTTATCTTTGTCACCTATTCCCACATCGGAGTGAATTACAGCATTAATATTTGTTCCCCGGGACTCTTCGTTGGTATTTTTGAGCGGAAACAGGACGCAGGTCGTTTGGATTGCACGATTTCTTTTGTTTCAAGTTCGTTGTATGCCTAGAAACATGGCAACGTTGTTATTTTATTGAATATATAGGACATGTCCTATTCAAATAAAGGATTTTGATATGCCAATGGAACAACTCCGTACTGGAACGTCTCCAGTATAAAAAGTTCTCTACTCTCCGAAATTTGACCATTGCACTAGCCAGAAAATGGACTTCCTTTTCAACGCGTGTTGAGGGACTGTGATGTAATCGATAATGTTGACGTCTCCGTACGTAAAAACACACTCTCGAACTTGACAACATTCAGTCTCAGACAACTAGCAAATGGATGGAAATATCAGTTAAATCAATCATGAAGACTGATGACTCGATTGATGGCCTGAATAGCTGTTCATTTCTATCCAACTGTGATTCTCAATTTCTATGTGTAAAATATCGCTGGTATGGACAGCGACGGCTGACGGACTATTTTTTATTCTGTATGCTTTCTTTTTCTCGGTCGAATTTTACACTGATAAGTAAGTATTAAGTAAGTAAACGATCCGGCGCATAGTCAACAGGACCTGGAGGTAGCGTCAACATACATCATTAATGGGCAAGTGTCATTGAGTGACAATCCCTTTTTTTAAATCTCATTAATTAGGATTTCCGCATGAAGTAACACGTTATCATTATAGCAAGGAAAAATAAGAATTTCTTTTGTCCAGGTTGTATAATGATACTATAATTTATATATCATGGGTATTTGTGTAAAGTGTACCTTTATGTATTACCGGTAGAATATGCACACCATTAAAATGATAAAAACCTCGAATGCATCCGTAGTAGACATACAGAGTAAACACAATTATCAAGAGTGATTTTGGATTACCGGTAGTTAAAATTTTGCCAACATGATGTGACATTATATATAATTGGTGGTGTGAATTACCAAGCCATTTTATAAAATAGTGTACAAATATTTTCGTAACACTAACCGTGAAATTTTATATTTAAATTTCTTAATTTTATTTTGTATTGCACAATCGCGGGTGTCGGGAACCAAAAAAAAACAAAACGCGACATATCGGGGTTCGTGCATCTTTACTACCTTATACTAAAATATGAAGTTGCACAGACAGGGGAAATGTCTCATGGCAGGGAAAAATAATGCTTTCTTTTGTCCAGGTTATATGATAAATATTTTGAGTGTGTATGTATTAAAATATGCAATCATAGTACACATGCAAAGTAAACAGAATTATGTGAATTTGCCTGGGTGGTGTGAATTTCCATGCCGTAAAATTGTGAATAAATATTTTCGTGTATCAATTATGCATATAATTACATATACATAATTACAAATCTGATGAAAAGACAAGTTTCTTCCACTCACCGCAAAACCCAATCACCGCGAAAGACACTCATTGCGAAAGACACTCATTGCGAAGCTACTAGTCAATTGACAATACATTTTACTTTACTGTAATTGTCAATTTAGTTTTATTGCAAAGTGACAGCGGGGATCCGTAAACATGAGCCGACCACTAGGTTTATTACCTCATTCTTAAAGCATCCACTGAACGCGTTAAAGCAGTCTCTGCCAAAGGCTAATTGAATATTCGAATGCTCTTGTTTTCTTAAAGCGGGAGGTTCGTCACCTGCGCACGCGCGAGAATTGGGTCCCAAGCTACGATTCCACGCTAAAAACGCACAGGGTAGACACTTGTTTGTAAACAATGGCGCGCTATGGCCATCTGACGCATGCGCAGGTGACCACTCCCTCGCGTTAACGCATGCGTACGGTACAATTATAGTGATACTCAAACGCAGTAGAATGACCAGCAGATCATTATGACCTCACTTAGCCAGAAAACATTTGGTTTGCTCCGTTTACTGTGATATATTGGAATTTTGTCGACAGAGTTATAGCGCTAACCCGAATCACCTGATTATCATTGAATTTTACACGGGGAGCGCCGTTACGGCTCTTTCACGCCATTGTGCTAAAAAGCGAGCCTTCTTTTGTGTTTGCTAGTGCTTTCAAGACTACTAACAAAACAACTTCATAAATATTTATGACATTAATCAGTTGAATTATCCGACGTACAACTAATTCACCATGGATTATTTTATCAAACTGAAACACAAATATAAGTTAGAGTATTTTAGTGAGTTATTGAATGGACCACCGCCTACTACAGTGGGAGATATTCAAAACGCAGAAGCTGTACAGACATCGATACAGAGCCGCCATGAAAAGGAAAAATTCTAACGCCCACCAAGACTCAAGAAAGGAGAAGGTCAACCTTTATGCTGAGCGCTTTCAAGGCAATTTCAGACCTTTTATCAGATATTATATAGCCTTTGTTTGCAGACATCTAGACAAGAAAGAAAATACCTAGTCACGATGACTGGTCGCAGAGTATTGTAGTAAAACTGCCAAGGAAGGGCTCTGTAAGGATTCACGCTTATTTCAAATACCGAGGACTATTATGACTAAAATAATCATCAGTAGAGTGAGGGTTGCTATTAGTGGCGTATTCTATGTTCATATTGTACACAAAGGAGACTTTCTTTTTATCAAGATCTTCAATAACTTAACCTACAGAATAGGACATGGTAATTGCAACTTGCAAGTGAAAACATGAGAGAGACAACGGTACACAATGTCAGCACTACCCCGTATTTCTGTTGACTCGGTCAAGAGACAAACAATTTCTCATCACTGAAGAACCAGCACTATTCTGATGCCATTGCTCGTTTATCCCATACACGCCAACACATACAAGAGAACTCGTCCCGTCTTGATGAGTACTGCCATCATATTGGCCTGAAAATCAATCACAAGGAGACTGAAGTAACAACTCAATATCTCAAACCAATTATCTATACACACTGTAAGATTGTGTAGTTGCAACTATGTAATCTTTATTTTCAATTTTATCTTTGAAATGACGTCTTTGAATACAAAATGAATAATTGACGATTCATGAACGTTAACATGTAATAATCTACTTTCAATTCACTGTATCCAACAAATATCTTCGCTTTCTCAATGATAAGACAGTATAGTAGTAATAATTCTCATTCCAATGCATTGTATATAAATTATGTAATTTCATAAACTCTGCAATTTGACATTATAATCATAATTTAGTAGAAGTATGTGTTACAATTATTGATAGTTTGAGAGATATATAAACATCATCTGATTCAATTCATCTGCACACTTTGTGATCTGCTCAAAATTTTCAGTATTTCAATCGTGGGTGACATTTTGTTTTCTTGCCACTATAAATAAATAGTTCTTTGCATCCGCAAGATGCTGTAAATCGTCTCCACCATTTCCAACGTTGACGCTGTGTATCATTGTGAATCCAGCCTGTTTGTAAGCTTCCCTGACTATTTCCTCCGTTGTCGTGAGTGCATGGAACTGTGCATCTCCAACTTTGCAGAAATTACCACCTAACCGTCCCCAGTGAATAACCACACCTCCAGGTTTCAGTATAGAAGACACTGCCTTCACGCTGCTCTCAAATGAAGCAATATCTGGACACGCTGCTTCGAGACAACTGGCAACGATGATGCCATCAAACGGGTCACAGGTGATGGGTTCTAATGGATCTGGCTTCAATACATCGCAATGTATAACATTTGTTATTTTCTAACGAAGCATTTGTTGAATAGTTTTCCAATCATAGCTAGAGAATAAAAATATAAATTAGGATAACATAACGCTATGGTACAAGGATGATGCATCCGAAAAACATGTTTATTTAGTTATTATGTTATCATTCTAAAATGTGCTACTATTCTAATTTTGAGGAGGTGTCAAATTAGGTATTGCTAGATTTTACAATCATAGTGACTAACCCATTCCCTTTCAAATCAGCGACAAACTTAAAATGACGAGACCAATCATAAGCATCTTCTCGATTCTCAATCCATTTACGCACTTCCTCTCTACACGAGGCGGTGTAATCAGAGAATACGATCTCTGAGAAGTATGTGGTGGCTGCAATAAGACGAGATATACCAGGTCCTTCACCGAGCTCCAATAATCGTTCACCTTTGAACATCCCTGTATGCCCGGTAAAAAACAAATCAGCAATATTCATTTCAGACATGTCAATAATTCATTTGAATATAATTCGCATTCTTAGGACCTTGGATCTGTGCACAATGTCCCTATGGTTTTCCTGACCTGACATATATCTTTAATAAGAGTTCTTGACAAGTGCCGATATTACTCTAGAGGAGTAATTTTTTTTGTCCTAAACAATCCACATTGACTGGTGTATTTGTTCTCCACATTAACAGTTTACTAGAAAAGCACCGTTTCTTTCTTGCAACTTTTTATATTGAAGTTAGAAACAGTTTTAAAAGTATATGTAAATCCACAGCTACATTGTACGCAGGGTAATTTTTGGGGTGGTTAAAGAAATTAAGAGTGGGAAATTATCTGTTTTATCAGAGAGTAATATTAGTTCATTAGATTGGTTTAACTATTTTAAAGAATTGCTTAATGTATCACCAGAAAATATTGAGACGTAATTTTTGAAAGCAACAAGGACACGACTCTCATTGTGAGCTATGCACTAAATGAAAAGTGCATTTAGCAGTCAACAATGACATTACGTTGCAAGAAGTCACAAATGGTATCACAAGCACAGATAATTGTTTAAGCATTGTGGTGACAACATGCATCAAGGTCTGCCATTTATTTAATTATTTCGGAGGCAAATACCTACTCAACTGGGGAAAAGGAATTATTTTCCCGTTACACAAAAAGGGGGATATTAACAACGTTTATAATTATTGTGGTATTTGGTTGTTGTCGTCGGTGAGACAAAACTATAAATGATCGTCTAGTAAAGTGGGCTGTAAAAAATGACATCATTGTTGAGGCCCAAAATAGCTCTTTGTAAAGAATACAGCACTTTTGACAATATGTTTTCACTGCAGTGTTTAGCCGAAATATGAACTTACCAGTACTCCGTAATTGTGGGGGAGTACAATTTGTTGTAGATTTTTATTAGGGGTTAACTCTAAGGTAAATACTGAAATTGCTTTTAGGCGAATGAGGAAGATTACCCATTTTCTGTACTTAGATAAAACGTTGCATTGCATACTGGTTAAAACTTATACAAATCAATATGTTATAAAATGGTTAAAATGTTGGACAGGGTTACGTGGGAAACAAAGATTTTTGTATCGACATGGTTTTTGATATTGTATGGATTGAAAAACAAGTTGCAGACAGCCAAGTTTTCATGGGTTTATTTCACGAAAGGTTATGTAATTTTTATCGCCAAGAATGGTCGGCAGCGATTGGTCAATCAGGTAGATTCCGTTATGTTAATTTAAAATCTTTTTAGAGCCAGAATTGTACAACTTCCTCTCAATTTTACAGTGATGTATTTGTTTAATTTTGTATTACTGTTAAATACTTTATTTTCGCTTTCAATTAATTTTCGCTGAAGGATTGATTAAGTAAAAATCAAATCCAGCAAATACCTTTTTCCCTATATTTTACATTCAACTCGTCTAAAATCAGTGAAAATAAATTCCATACAAAACACCAAAAAAAATTTTCAGCGAAAATTAATTCTAGCTAAAATAAAGTATTTTAAAGTATAATGATTGATGTGATGAGCGGAGGCCTAGACATTAATAAACTACTATCGGTACTACTATAAATTACGATGAATAAAAAACACATTTTTCAACAAATTTAACATTGTTTCTAATATCTGTCCAGCAGAACAGCATTCAAACAAAGTTTGAATAAGTTAAATTTACCAGCTGTCTCGGAACCATAAACAAAAATGTATAAATAAAAATAAAAAAGATTTTTCTTTAAATATTACTATCTATGCAATGTACTTATTTTACTTTTATTTCAACTGAATTTTCTGTTATTTTTTTTATAATTTCACTCTATTGTAATTTTATCTATAACTCAACAGAGATTCGATAACAATAAAGTACTAGTTTAATAAATTATATTATAATAATCTGAACTTTTACCTTAGGCATAGGAAGCAAAGCTATTTAGTAAACACTACATAAAACAAATCAACAAAAAAACAGGAAATCTTAAGTAGCATCACAGCCAAATTCAGATGACAAAGAAAATGAAAGACCACAAAACTGTTGTTCACGTAATATCTTCGACCCCAATTGCGCGTCTCGTCAGCATGGCGACCTTTAAATTCAGGCTAGTCAACATAATGAAATACATTCACTTCAACAAAATAAGTCCAAATATGACAAAACGTAATGGATACGCTGTTCGATACACATTAATTTCCACCATTAGAACTTGTTAAATTTGAAAGAATAAATATGTTGTTAAATTGAGAGAACAAATGTGTCGACAAATTGTTTATACTTATTTTGGTGTAAATAACTATCGTTTAATTATTTTCCACCATCGGAAAGAAACAATGTGTGAAAAAATATTTGAGATTTATTTTGGTGTAAACAACTCTCGTTTAATTAATTTCCACCATTACAAGTTGTTAAATTGAGAGAACAAATATTTGATACTTATTCAAATCTGGCTGAGGTCGGCGAACATCTTGTGGGCCTAAGTTTAAACGGTGCAATGACACTAAAATACTGAAACGCAACGTTTAATAATTTTGAAATCATTCAGTGTTTATGCTACGTGCTATGAAACGCCCTTTCGAATTTAAGGTAAACGTGGTTTATTTAATCCTTAGTAAAAATGTAGTTTTTACCTTGCTTGCATGAATAATGCAGTTGTCGATGGAATTCCATATCTACTTCTAAATACCGCTCTTTCAACTGCAAGTACATCCGTGGATCAAATTTATCGTGATAATCGGCACCGAGCAACGACACTTTACAGTCAGTCATACTTGCTATTTGGAGATGCTGCGACCTAGCTCGTGCATACCCTCTGCAAGACAGCCGTTCGACTTTGTATGACATCCAACGAGTTACTGGTTTTCATGTCAGCTACGTGATTGTATTGGGGTCACGGTCATGGGAATGTGCATAAGCCAACAAGTGAATGTATGTTATGTTTGTCACGGTTACTAGGAAACTCTCTCGGTTGTTTTTTTAGAATGCGTGCCCGGTAAACATTAGCATAAAATTACATATTCGTTCGAAGACGATTCTATCGATTGGGGTTTTCTGTAATATTTTTTTTCTAACATTTTTTTATTTACACAGCGTTGTCGGGATTTTGTATGAATGATAACACTGAAATGAAAATATATATTCAGATTAAAACTGTACTATGAAACCATACAACGTCCTGTGTCACTTACACTGCAACTGGCAGCGGTCAAAAAAAAAGGCGCAGACATTGCAAAAATTAGACAAACAAATGTCTGCAAACTTCGAGAAAATGAAACAAACATTGTTTAAACTATCATAGTTCTCTCATAAAAGACCCTCAGATTCTAATTTAATGTACAAAATACACTTGTGAATCGTTCAAGAAGCATTTTTGGGGTACAAAATGTCGTCGCCATGTTGGACATCAGCAGACGCAGACTTAAGATCGCCCTGCTGAGACGATGAAAATTTCCTACAAAAGCTTAGTATAATAATCATTTATAAAAACCATAACACTTTAAACTGTCAATACTAATTTAATGCATTGTACTAAAATATAATTCCATCCGGTTTTTCAACAATGTTTACGAACTATTATGACAAAAGCAGACAAGATGGCTGATGTCGCTAACCTCAACAAAAGCGCGTTATTTTCTAAAGTCACGATTGAAATTAGTTATGATAATCATAGTTCCACATGCAAATACACAACAAATAATGTAGTAAAGAATACTTTTCGAACATTCGAGTTTTTGGGGTAAAAATTCACAGACTGCAAATCTGTCAAGCCCCAGGCCACTAATATTATTATTAGTGGTCTGAGACAAAAAAAAACATGCTGTAAATGCATTAATTATTCACTGGGTTTTAATGTCGCTATTTTCGCTGATAAGTAAAACCTGCTAAATTAAATCTACGTGAACATGTGAAATAACAAATAAACTCATTGTTTCCTTGACACGCATCGAAGTCACGTGATGTCAATGGGAAATTAACATATATAACAAGAGTTTCCTAACCGTATCCGTGATTTGGGGGGGCTTTCAGAACACTGTATCGAAACGTTATTTACTATTCGATGTTGCTGTTTACTGTTTCATTTGCATACTTGATTCATTGTGGAGATAATTAATTATATGGATGTCTTCATAATTGTCCCTCACAGGCAACCATAACATGCGACTACGCTCACACTCTAAACACTGGCGGCGCCCTCACTTCCGTTTCCTTTCGTTCTGTTTGGAGTGTGGACTACGCTGTTACTGCCCGAATACTAGTTACACTATACGTATTGATGATTGTAAACATTAAAGTGTTCGAATTTCATGTAAATAAGCAATGTATTTTACACGCGTTGTATACGTCGCTACGAGTCCCATATCGAACAGAACGCGACACGACGACTGCCGCCTTTTAAACGTTGTAATTTATTTACAGGGGAATACATATTCTACTATCCACATTTATACAAGCTTGTTCAATTTGTTAATTTTTTGGGCGTTAATCATAAACGATCAATTTAAAGTGTCGAATCGCACTCTGTGTTGACTAGTAGATATTGTTATTTCAAAACCGGTTGTGTATTCAATAATGATTATATCCTCGGAGCGGAGCTACGACACAGAACGTTCTACGTTGCTAAGGCGCGCACCACTGTACTATGTATTTCCATGGGCTCAGCGCAAGCTGCTGTGGAACGCCGGTCGAAGAGCCGATGAAAACAGCTAAAACCGAGGAAACAGCACAAACTAAACTTTGAAGTAATCCCGAACAACCAAATTTATATATGTTGTACATGTGGGGGTAATCTTGTTACACTATTTAGTCGAGTCTCAACAACTATCGCAAAGTACAGTTTTCTGTGAGTTTTCCACCTTTGTTTTCACCGTGATGGTTGCCAGGCGGTGAAAATGCCCGGATATCCGCCCGAGGATAATAAGAAGTAACAACTACATTGAATTCACGTCGTTCTCTTTTGATTTTGTTAATATATTATTGGTCGTGGAACTGGCATATCGTCCGGTATTTGACCTATTAACACACATGTCACAAGACACTGAAATGCACAACTGATTCACGTTTCAAAATATATAGGTTGCAAAATAGCATAATAACAATAGTTCACTTTATTTAATTGAAAAACAATCTTACAATATGATCAGACAGTCATTGCAGGCAGTCATTATTTAACTGAGTAAATGAGTATGGTATAGTTCTAATCGGAAAGTCATCTATTCGTGTATCAACGTATGAGGTCATTCACAATCTACAGAGAAAGTAGAAACATCTTCCATTACTCAGTGAGCAGGCATCAACATGACCCAGAAATATAACATATCCGGGTACTTTTGTTAGAAAACCAGAAAGCAGTTACATTATTCCCTGCTTTGTATATCTATAAGATTCGAATTTGATTATCCGATCATTCTGAGCTGTATTGTAAATAATATATGCAAAATAATGTGTTGTGATCTTTTATTACATCTGCATATCATCGTGAGCACATACTTACCGCTCAAACGCTGGCGGCGCTGTTTACATCAAAGGGTAACTTGCGTTCGTCGCAATGCCGCACTGATTGTCATTATTACGTGACATATGAATGTAACCTTGGTTACCCCATGTGCTTCCCCAGCTGAAAACAAAGCAAACTTTAAATAAATTAAGGTAAATTTCAAATGTCTCAAAAGTTTTCAATAATATAAATCGTGCTATGTATATGCGTTGTGTTGTAAATTAAAGTGAGAGGGTCGTCACCTGCGCACGCACGGGAATTGAGTCCCAAGCGACGATAACAACACACGCTAAAAACGCAAAGACTTATGGGTAGACGCTTGTTTGTAAACAATGACACACTATGGCCATTTGACGCATGCGCAGGTGACGACTCCCCCGCTTTAAATTTGCATCTAATGTGACGCAAGTAAACGCAACGTCACAAAGTTGCGCAATGAATTATATTTATTGATAAAGGATACTGTAAGTGGAAAAAACAAGATCTATGTATGCGTACACTTCCTTGACAAAAGATGTTAAAGCCCAAACTAGCCACCCCTCCCCTTCAGGCATAATGACCTACTATAAATCATGTACCTGTTTTTAACGATCCAGTAGTCATTTCCGTCATCGGTTGTACCATATCCAACAGCCAGCACACCGTGGTCCAGCATTGTCTGGCTACACGCAGGCTCATCGTAAACACCTGTATCAACCAGATAAAGGTGGTTTTACAAAAACAAGTTTAAAGTGCACATACATATATTACACAAACACGTAAAGCCTTCTCTCAACGAAGTGCTGCTGGAGAAATTATGGTAGATGATGTCGGGGGATGGTGTCAGTATTGTCATTCACGGAGACCATGCTAGTTTTTAGTGTGAACGTCAAACAGAATGGAATATATATCTCATAAACAAAATTTTGAAACACAGCGGCCACACAACGAAACTATTGCAACGCCAAGATCTTCGTTTCGTCATCCTGTACCTGATATACGTCAAGGCAGCATTTCGTCACCAGAGGGCGTGATTTTTTCAAAAGCAGATAATAGACCACTTTCCCGAAGATACAGCAATACGCGCTTACCGTTTTGGGATGTAACATGAACTTGTGCGCGTGATATTGTGCTTGCGGGTGTACCAATCGACGTGGTAAAGATTTCTCTTTTACCAAGTATCAACCGACTGACATGTTTGAATTTGCACAATGAAAAAAACGGGCGTCGTTTTGCACCCCAGTCTCACTACTTCCGGGAAAGTGGTCTATCGTACATGTATATTTGTTTCTATGAGAGACCGTCTGTAGCCACGATGTGTACATCGGTGTGTACATCCATGTAATTTATTAATATTCTTTGTATTTCTCGCTATATAGACTTCTGGCGCAAAAAGTACGTAATAGTAGTACTAAAATTCAACTTGAAAATAGCAATGAACAACATATTCTAATTACGTTTTTAGTAAATAGATTAGGGTTACGTAAATTCTATCAATATGTTCTTGTGTCGAATTTAAAGTCAGAACCCTCCTCTAATTACCAACAAACAAAAATTGAACAGTCGTATTGAAAACTAGTGTCACGATTTGTGTGGTCACGTGATTACATGGAGTCAGTAACGTCGTACATGATGTGACGTCATACAATGATCTCAGTACAACTGACCCGATTTGTACAACCGGAATGAGGAGTGACTTGCGTCGATAGCGACGGAGATGGGTCCAACGGTCGCTACGGCTTGTTGTAGAGCCTTCTCGTCCATTGTAGCGATGTCAGTGTAACCGGTATTTGTGGCAACCGCTTTGCTGGTGTCATAAGAGCAAGGATCATCCTATGTGAAGAGAATAATTTTGTATCTGATGAGTTATGGGCAGAGCAATAATCCAAATATGCTTATACAATAATGAAACATTATACAATTTATTTCTAACATTTATTTTTCTGTCAAATGCTTAAGAGTTTGAATTAAATCGTAGTACCTTTGCAGTGTATGGGTAGTCAGCTTCGGGTTCTATACCGTAATCTTCAATGTAAGCGAATGCCTGGTCCATCAAACCTCCCCCGCATCCCATGTTGCCATAGGAACCAGAACAATCAACCAGCTGCTGTTCACTGAAAGACACGAGTTTTCCGGTGTTCTTAAATGACTGTCCTTCCATTGAACCAGTCTGCAAAAAATAAAAATGTTGTATGTTCTGATTTCCAAATGTAGATTTTGTTTTCAAATGTGGAGACTTCCTCACAAGAAATTGCATAAGATATACTGAGTCATCACTCTAGTGGAAAACTGTAAAACTGTACTAAACTGTATTGTACTGATTTTAATCAGGTGATTTCTTACCGTACTGAATGCCCAACATGAACCACAAGCACCCTACAAATAAAGAAATATTCGTCATGATTTGATTACACACTCGGAACACAACCCCTCCGAACCCCCTTAATCTCTTTTAAGTCTAAGCTCTTTATTTACAATTCGGGGTACTGAGTAGCCTGACGTGTAGGCGTGAGTAGCGCCATCACCGGTCGAACGGAATCAGACCGAGGTTTTGGCTGGTTCAAGTGTCATGGCGTACCAAGCCACAAGAGGCCGGTAACTAGTAACGAATCCGGCATTCTGATTGGTCCATCACTTTCTCGTTACTTGTTCTGTTTCCCTTGGTTACCTGACGTCAGCTCTTACGCTCGTGGCCGTTCAGGGGTTTCCTTTTACTTTCGAAAGTTGGGCGAATAAAAAAACTGTTTCTTTTGTTATAAATGTGCACAGAAACAGCGAAGAATGTCAGAAACATCTCAAATATGTAAGTCTAAGCAGGCAGAATGTATGAGCATGGCTTTATTGTAGTATTACAGACACGGAGAACATAACTTGGAAATCAATGTTTTCAAATTACGTCACGTTCCTTCCGGTCGGAAAAGCGGCCCAAATGGAACAATATGGCGATTACTAGTGACCTGCGTCCTACTGGTCATTCGCAAAGGACGCCGGGAACCAGCGAAACCTGTGTTGGGTTTGGAGTGCCGCGGAGGGCGCGTGTGCCCTTTTCAAGCAAGGTACGTAAGTTACATTTCAGTTAGAACCATTTACAATACATTTCACTTACAGTACGTAGTTCAACCAAAAATTACTCCTAGACCATGTTGATACTCGAGGTAAATGTTTCACCCGTCTCACCTGATCTTTGACTTCAGTGACGTAACCTTTAGTCCTCCAATCAACAGAGTCAGGTGCTTTATAATTACTTGGTGCGAGGAATGTTGATGATCTTGGGGAATTCTGTTTTTTCCCTTTATACCCGCACATCATGTCAGTGAATTCCTTGTTTGTCTAAAAAAAAAACGAAAATAAAACAAAGTGAAATTTGCGTAACAACAATAATAATATAATATGGTTTATTCAATCGTAGGTAGTCGCAAACCGGCACTGAATGCATTCATGAAATCTCTATCTGAAGTTGATCTGCTGAGGCGTTGGAAACAATCGGTAACCACTATTTATCATGTTCCACTGACACATCTTAAAACGGGGGAGTTGTCACCCGCGCATGCGTCAGATGGCCATAGCGTGTCATTGTTAACAAACAAGCGTCCACCCATGAGCCTTTGCGTTTTTAGCGTGTGTTGCTATCGTCGCTTGGAACTCAATTCCCGCGCATGCGCATGTTCCGACCCTTCCGCTTTAAGCACGCAATAATCAATATGCGAATAACACGGTATACATCTTACCATGTCACCAAATTGGTTCATTTCCATGGTGTAACTACTCTCTCCTTTTCTGTACTTCATATTATGGAGCTCAACGTTCTTCTTGTTTTGACTCCAAATCATTTGACGCACTCCGTCTTCGTCTGAGTTGTACACCTTGCCTAACAAGAAGCAAAGGAATAAAATAAGAAATGCACGTATACTGCGATTATCGTATTGAATTTGAAGTCAGCGGTACCGAGAACATTCATACAACACATTGTGTCCCCGTGTGAGAAAGATAAGGGCGTATAATGTTTGCATGATTTTTTTCGATTTTCGTTAGATTTAAAATAAATTACCGTATTCTGCTTTGTAATTTTCCCATTCCATGTTAAAGGCAGTTGCCATGGCAACGAACAGCATGCATATAAATAACTTCATTGTCTGCGTTTATTCTCGATGCTTTTGTTTTTTATTCCTGTAAAGAAAAAAGTTTTCGATGTTCACGAATGTTGGTATAAGATATACTAGTATGCCATCGACCTACTGAATTGGTGTATTGGTACGCCATTTACAATGCTTTTTTTTGTTTTTAAAACATTTTATTGAGTCATCTTATAAGGTTTACAAGTGTAAAGATACATGAAAGTTGGTACTGTAAATGTTACAATGGTTTGAATACAAGATTACAATATTCAGTCTTTAGTGGCCTGGTCGGTATCCATAAGTTGTAATTTCCCCCACTTTTTATTGTGTTTACTCATTTTCCCTTTCCTTTTTGCAGTGTAATGTTCAATCATTTCAATCCCTTTAACAAATGTCTTAAAGTTGACAAAATTTGGTCTTTTTTGTTGACACCTACATACATAGATAAATCTCTTGGCCAACAGAATCAGAAAATTTAGTAACATAGGACGAAGGCAATCACCTAATATAATGAATTCAGGGTCTAATGACTCTGGAGCTCCAACATGTTTTCCCCATTCTTCAATGAAATTTGTCCGGAATACATTGACGTGAACACAGTGGCAGAACAGGTGAAGAAGAGTTTCATCTGGCCCTTTACAAAATGTGCATGAACATGATTCAATTCTTGGGGGGGGGGGCATCTTATAGAGTATTGTGTTTGTAACCAGGATATTGTGAGAAATTTTCCACTGAAATTCTCTTAATTTTGAATCGATGGTAAGATTAAATGGTGACCAGTAAATACTTCCCCATTCATTTATAAATGAATTAAATGCTTTTATATAGAACATTTCTGATCGTGGGGAAATGAAGTAATGTTTTACAATACCCCGGGTGACTGGTTTAATTTTGCACTGACTCAGATGATATTGCACTCCAATAAAGTTTATACCTATCTCAGTATTCTCATCATTGGTCCTTGTAAATTTTGACATTTCAACATTTTGTTTCCAGCTAGGTGGTATCGCTGCAATTATCCCATACCATTTCAGATAGCAGTGACGGGGCACCCCTCTCGACAAGATCTCCTCCCATTGTAAGACTTGACCATGTTCATTAAAAAGATGTTCAACATACTGAAATCCAGCTTCAAAAAAGTAGTTGTTAAAAATACTTTTACCCCCTGGAATAATATTATAATTATTCCAGATAGTTTGGTTGAGGAAATGCTCCCCATCTTTGCTTTCCCCAACCACAGAAATCCAGGTTTGCATCATTTTAAGATTTAGCCCCTTAAGTACAATAGGTAACAGTTTTATTTTAAAATTGGCTCTCAACAGTGATTTGACTCCACCAATACTGTGCAATTTCCTACTTAAAAACCATTTCCATGGATGGGTATTGTTGTCGTAATAACGCCTCAGCCAGTTTATACCCTGGGCCTTAACTATAGCAAAAATGTCGGGCATGCCCAGCCCACCTTCTCCTACATCCCCAACCACAGTTTTCCGTGCAACCCGATCCTTCCCATTCCACAGAAATTGAAATAGCAATTTGTTAATTTCTTTCAGGATTCTATTAGGACAGGCTGTAAGATTTAATACATATTGGAGCCTAGAAATTCCCATAGATTTAATAATCTGTACCTTTCCAAGCAGAGTTAGTTTTCTGAGTTTCCAAAATTGCAATGACATTCTGAGTTTCTCCATAGGCTCAGCAAAGTTCCTTTTAGTAGCTAGTTGTTTATCATGGGAGAAATAAATTCCTACAATTTTAATGATATTTGGCCATTTCACTTTCAGATGTTTGTCTTTACATTTTTTCATGCTTCCCAGCCACATCGCTTCACACTTCTCTTTGTTAACTGCAAGACCCGGAATTTTTTCAAAATCTTTCAATATTTGGAAAAGTCTTTTACAGGAGGGGAGGTCAGTCAAGAAACATGTGAGGTTGTCTGCAAAAGAAGCACGTTTAATGGTTCCAAAACCCGGTACTGGGATTCCCTTAATTTCCTGATCTGACCGTATTGAGCATAAACATATTTCTATAGTAAGAATGAACAACATTGAGGATATTGGATCTCCCTGTCTAACCCCTCGTCCTGGAGCGAAATATCCAGTACTAGTACCCCTATTCATAACACAGCTAACAATGTTCGCGTAAAGAGTTTTTGTCTGCCTAATAAAGCTGGGTCCGAAATTGAATGTTTCAAGAGTTTTGAACAAAAAGGACCATTCTACCGTGTCAAAAGCCTTTCCAGGTCTATTGTTAACAATATCCCTGGCTTAGTTTCCTCATCCATATAGTCAAAGATGTTTTCTACAAGACTGACCACATCTCCTATTTGTCTATTTTTGACAAAGGCCGATTGAGTATTATGTATTATATCTGGGAGAACTTTTTCTAGCCTTTTGGCCAAACACTTTGTTCCAATTTTATATTCAGTGTTGAGGAGCGAGATGGGGCGCCATTTTTTAAGAAACCTACTATCCCTACTTTTTTTTTCAACAATGTGATGACTGCCTGTCGCTGAGATGGGGATAATTGACCCTCTTTATATGCGGTATTTAGGGAGTTAACTACATATTTCGACACCAATGGCCAGAATTTGGTTTAAAACTCTGCTGGCAAACCATCATTTCCTGGCGTTTTATTCACGAGCAGGGTTTTAATAATACATTTGGCTTCCTCCAAGGTGATAAGTTCATCACATATTTGAGCCTGGTCCTCAGTCAATTTTGGTATGTAAGGATTTTGAAGAAAAGTGGATTGCGTGTTAAAATCAATATCAGTTTTTAGGGTGAAGGCGTACAGTTTTTCATAATATAATTTGATTTGTTTATTTATTTCTTGGGCCGGGATCACTGATCCATTTGTATTTAAAAGGTTGGTAATTTGTGATCTCTTGGCATTCATTTTCTCAAGTTGCAGAAAATATCTGGAGTTTTTCTCGCCTAATTCATGCCAATTAGCTCGTGATCTAATGATCTGTCCCTCTGCGATGTCATCATATTCTTTCTGAAGGGATTGTTTTGTTAATTCATAGTTATTTATACAATCGTTTGTTGGACTTTATCCCAACTCACCCTCCAATTCTGCTAATTTTTTTTCTATTTTAAGGATTGTCTCTCTTTGTTTTTGACTTTTTTCTTTACTATGAGTTATAGTTGACCTCTTTATACAAAACTTTAACCAATCCCATAAAATCCGATGGTCCTGAATGGCCTCCCCTTCCTCAATCCACTTTGCAAATTTATCCTCAATTAATTTTAAGTAATCTCCATCTCGCAGCAAACTTGTGTTTAGTTTCCAATATGAAGGGCCCCGACTACATTCATCATATTTAATACTTAGTGATATAGCACAGTGGTCAGAGTGCACACATGGGATAATTTTTGCATCGATTGTAATATTTAGTACAGACTGACTAGTGAGGAAGTAGTCCAACCTACTTTGTACCTAAGC